TTACCACAAACAGCGATACAGTAAACATCCTTGTTTATGTTTGTGCAAATGTTGTAAACTGTATTTCTCTAGGATATGTACATTTGAAGTGAAATTACTAAATATTGTCAAGTTTTTCTGCAAAATGGTTTGCCAGTTTCCTTTCCCACTTTCCGTATCTGAGATTTCTCTTTTCTAGATTTAAAAAAAAATATACCTTGAAATATTTTACACTTACAAAGGAAAGTATGTAGTGCATGTAAGGTATTAATATCAATATAAATGAACACCCAATATAAATATACCAATACCTTTGAAGCATCTGTGTGCTCTGTTTTAATTCTATTCTTCTTTCCCCTCTGCAGCGGTAACCACTATCTTGAATTTCATGTTCATCATTCTCGTCCTTTGTAGTTTTATCACTTATGAGTGTGTGCTGACATTTGTCAGCCTTCTGACACTACCTATGTTAGAGATCCTGCTACCATCCGTATGTTTGGTCCTTCAATGGAAGGACTCATTTGACTCAGGCTAAGATTTATTATAGCCACACAATCAAGATACATAGCCAGACTGGTAATGGAAAAAGACAGAGGGTGAAGTCTGGAGGAATCTATGTACAGGCTTCCTTTGGTCTTCTCGAAAAGGCCACACAGTGAGCTAACTGCTTCCAGCAGTGAAATGCAGTAACATGTACATATTATTTCTGCCAGGGTAGCTCATTTGAGACTCAGCCTATTTTTATTGAGGGCTCTGCCCACCAAAATTTCAGACACCTAGAAGGAAAGGAGGTGTTCACTATAAATCACATTGTTTATACAAGAAGTCTAGGCAGGCTGACATAGCAATGGTAACCTTGTCAGTTGCTAAAGAGTACGTGTTCTGAAAGTTGAGGTACAGATACTCACCAGTGGCTATCTGTACAAGCATGCTTTTTATTTATTTATTTATTTTATTCTACTTTAGGTGCAAGTTTATGGAACAGAGTTTGTTTTACATTCAACATGATGTGTATATTTAGTTTTACTCCCCATTTACCATCCCCAACCCTAACCTAGTCTCCTCCTCTCCCTACCCAGTAAACCTCCCCTCCACCCGTGCTCGTCATAGTTATGCATTCCTGTGTGTCCTACATTTCCTCTGTGCGAATGTTGCCCATCTGGTGCCCCATGGTCAATTGCTCCAAGGGATCATTTCCATAGACTATATGGGTGCATCACCCTGGGTTGAGTGGCCTGAGTGTACATCTTGTTTACTATTATGCTGACAGCCAGCCTCTGGGAGTGAGTTTTATTCCAGGCCCAGAATGTATCCCAGGGCCACAGTATTAGGGGTCTCACCAGACGCCATCTGACCAGTAATTCTGGTCATTGACTTTTTGGGTTTTGTTCCACGTTTTTCTACCCACTGTATCCAGGATGTCCAGATTTGATCCTTTCCTGAGTGGTGGCATTGGTAGCCAGGCACCATCTGGTTCTTCTGGTCTTGAGGGCCATCATGTCCTAGGCCTGACTGCTTCCATGTGCCCTTCTTTTGCACTCTTCTTTGCTTCCAACGATAGGATACCATTAGCTGCATCTTAGATGGATCAGATGGGGATCAGTGAACAGGATTATACTATAGATCAAGGATAGATTCAGAGGAGGCTAATCTTGCACAGATACTAGTGATACGGAATACCCACAATCCTTACAGAAACAACAGAGGACAGACATAGAGTAATCCTTCACAGATAGCCAGACACTGTGGGAGAGAGGTCCAATGGATCTGCTGACTCAGGACCATATTACGGGGGGACACCAGACTCAATTGGTACAACAAAATACATAAAAGTGTTGTTCCTTATCCTAAATTGGTGAGTAGTGACTGGGTTCTTAAAAACTTTCATGCATGCTTTCTAAATGATTGGGGCTGCTATGTTAATTCTTGTCTGCATAGGGTGAATCCCTAAATAACCATACTGTTTCATACACCAAGGAGCTCTGGTAGGGTAGTGGATAAAACATTTGGCTGCTAACCAGAGGTCTTTTTTTTTTTTTAAGTTAACGTAATCATTTATGTATGTTGTGGATTTTTCTTTTTTTGCATGTGTATTTTGTTGTCTGTTAGTTTTATTCCAAATTAATAGCATCGATCAGATCCACAGGTAAATAACACATCTGCCTGGGGCTTGGGTAGCAATTTACAATACGTTTTTATTCGTTATTGCTTTAATTATAGCTTTCTTCCGACCATGATAAATGCTAAATGCTGCTGAGGGTCAGGCAATTAGGCATTGTTTTCCTACCTGTAGTTACACCCAGGCCCCCCTGGCAGTTTCTGAATTAGCACCTAGGACAGATTGGCTTTCCTTGGAGCCTTAACCTTTAGTTATCCCAAATTTGTTTTCATTGCACTGTAGGACAGAGGTTCCCTGTTACTTCTAGCAGCAGGACAGATCTACTTTTCTATCCTGGGAGGTAGCAGGAAGGTTCAGGGTAGGTAAAAAATTTAATATGTCAGTATTCTGAAAGGTGATGGGAGTAGAAACTTGGTATAATAATATTATATATATTGTTGTTGTTGTTGCCATGTGCTGTCGAGTTGGACCCGACTCATAGCGACCCCTCCTTGGGTTTCCGAGGCAGTATCACTACGGAAGTAGATTACCCCATCTTCCTTCCGAGGAGTGCCTGGTGGGTTTGAACCTCCAGCCTTCTGGTTAGCAGTCAAGTGCCTTAGGCTCTATGCTACCAGAGCTCCCATTATATATATAGTGTATATGTATGTGTGTGTGTATATATATATACACACACACATACATATATATTTATGTATGTATGGATACACACACACACATATTTAATTGTGATTTGAGTAAAAGTTTACAGAGCAAATTCATGCACAATGTAACAGTTCTCTTTGCACTTCTTCCCTGTAGTTACTTCTTCCTTGTGTCCTTTCCTATGCATTCCTGCCCCCTAAGCCATCTCTCTGTGCAAATTCTGCCCTCTTATTCTCCCATGATGGACCATTCTATGGAGTGTATCACCCTGGTGTAAATATTCACTCTGTATGCCTTCTTGTTTGGCTGAAAGCCATGGGAATGAGTGTAATTCCAGGCCTGAAGGGTAACTACGGGCCATAGTCTTGGGGGTTTCACCACTCTCTGTCAGACCAGTAAGCCTGGTCTTATTTAGGGTTTTGAGTTTTGTTCCACATTGTTCTCCCAATCTATCCAGGATCTCCTACACTTATCCCTTTCTGAGTCTTTGACAGTCGTAGCCAGGTGCCATCTAGTTTTTCTAGTCTCATGGTCACATAGGCAGAGGTTCTCATGGTCTACTAGTCCCTTGGACTAACTGTTTCCATTCATCTTTGGTTTTCTTCATTCTTCTTTGTTCTGGACAAGTAGAGACCAATGTTGCATCTAAATGGCCACTTGAAAACTTTTAAGACCCCTGTTGCTACTCACCAAAATACAGTGTAGAACAGTATTTCTGTGTAGTATGTTATACCAGCCACTTCTTGAAAGGAAGGTTGGGCTATCTACTTGCATAGTGATACAGGCTTGGAAACCCAAGGAGGGGTCGCTATGAGTTGGATCTGACTCATGGCAGTGGGTTTTGTTTTGTTTTTTTTATGTTATGCCAGTTGAGCTTGATGTCCCCCAAGACCATGGCCTCAAGTCCTCAGATCCAACATCTCACTTCATGAGGTTGGTTGACTATGGCTAAGAAGTTAGTTAACTTTGGCCTGTTATGTCTAATTTGTGGATATTCTTACAACACATTCCAATATGCATATAGAGGTAGCCTCTGCCAATCTTATATATGGTCGTGGGTATATTCCTTTTGCCCAGGTACACCTGATCATTCAGCCTGTCTAGATTATTGCAGTGCATTGAATTACTTGGAATGGCTTTTCTAGCCATAATCTTTGTAACTTTCAGCAGATGACTAGGTGGGACTATGCAAATAAAGTATGTAGAACTCTGATGTTGGGATTGGTTAGTTTTGTCACTTTGCCAGGTTTAAAATGAGCCTTCCTAGAGGCAGAAAGGGGGATCTCACTGCCATGAAGAGAGAAGAGCTAGAGGTGAAGTAGAGTGCATCCTCAGACCTGAGATTCCTGCATTGGAATCCTTGGCAGAGACATCTGTCAGAGAGAGATGCCCAACAGAGGGATGATGGTAGTGGAATCAAGAGGCACAGGATACAGTGGCAGGCTTTCGAACCCACAGCCTAGGGAAAGCTGTGTGCCCTTGGGCAGGAGGCTTGCTGTTGGGGTAGGGTGCACGTAGGTGTACCTGTTGGCAGAACTAAAAGAGCTTTGTAATACTTGCCAAAGCAGGGCGGAGGTCAGGCCGAGGGGCAAAGGGCCAGTGTCTGAGGGCATAGCAGAGGGGAGACTGTCCTGATTGAAAAATTGTATCCTGAGTGTATTTCTGAACCTGAATTGTAGTGTGTTACTTTCCTAATAAACCCCATAATCATGCGTATTGTGAGTTCTGTGTGGTCATTGCAATGAATTGTCAAACCCGGAAGAGAAGTAGTGAGTGCCATGAGAGGGACGGTTGATGTCAGAGTTGGTGAAAAGGGTGAAGAGTGGCAGCGTGTCTGGCCTCATAAGAATAATAAGTCTTGGGCTGTTGATGGCGATTCTGTCTCACCCTTGTGAAGTTGGAGGAAGTCAGAAGATGCCGCCCCCAAGTCCTTTTAGCAATTACTCATTTTCATTGTTGTATATATCATATTCCATTATTTGACTGTATTTGTATTGCATTTTATTCCATTTCCTGTCAGTAGATAGTTTTTTGCTGTTCAGAGCTGCATTGTTTCTGTTATATGCTATTTCAGTTTTACTAGACAGTGCCACATGGTTTTCCAAACTAGTCATTTCAGTTTACAGCTCTACCATCTGGGTGTTGTTTCCACATCCTTTTGGTTTTTTTTTCCCTCTATTTTAAAAGCAAATGTGTTTTCTTAGAATTTGTAATTTTAATGAAGTAAATCTAATATTGTAATTTTTCCTCTGTTCAGTGCCAGAAATCACATACAGAGTCACTTCCAGTTTCTTCAATGAAGGAAGAAGGCTGTTTGCAGCTCTTTATAGACTCAGATGAAGATGCTAGCACATCAGGTTGGTAGCTTCCCCATGGATGTTATTTGCCTAGATATCTTTAAAAGATTAGAAATGCAAAAGGTGGCACATTTATTGGTTTGAGTGACAATATCAGGGTAGCCTAGACAGAGTTGTGAAATAGATGAAGTTGATTTTGAGTCCCTTTAAAGTCTGGCCAGTGCCCTTTTCCTATTGCTCCATTTCTTTCCTCAGTTATGTGTGTTGCAGCTTTTTAAAGTTTTCTTCATTTGCATTTTTCAAATGACAAAAGTTCTCCATCTGAGATAAGAAAGGTTTAAAAGAGAAAGTGAATTATTACATCATTCTGCTCAGATAACCTTTGAATCCCCCTATACCTTCTGATGACGTAGTGCCTAAGGCACTTGACTGCTAACCAGAAGGTTGGCAGTTCAAACCCACTAGCAACTCCGTGGAAGGAAGACTAGGCAATCTATTCCTGTAAAGATTTACTGCCTCAGAAACCCAAAGGGGGTTGCTATGAGTCAGAATTGACCTGATGGCAGTGAGTTTGGTTTTTGGTGAGTTTTGTACCTTCATCAAGGAGCTCTAGTGATGTAGTGGATAAGGCATTTGGTTGCTAAACAGAAGGTCCGTGGTTCTAATTTACTAGCTGTTCTGCAGAAGGAAGATGGGGGGATCTACTTCCATAAAGATTTACGGCCTCGGAAACCTAGTGGGGGTCGCTATATGTTGGAATTGACTTGGTGGCAGTGAGGTTTTTTTTATACCTTCACTTGTACTCATAAATGAAAACATAAGCACACATGTTTAAAAATGTATATTACAATTTTCTATCTAACCAGCAATGTTTGAGTGTACCTTTTAATCTGGTAGAATAAATCCTATGAAATAGGATGTTATGTGAATTTACTATTCTGTATCTTTGCCAATTTGGTAGGTATTAAATAATCTATCCTTATTGTTACTTTAGTGTCATTGAGCTTGAGTAATTTTTTATAACTTTACTGACTACTTGAATTTTCTTTTTTTCAATCATTTTGCAATTTATATTTCATATATAGTTCACTCCAGATAAAGGGTTTATAATTTGTATGCAACTTGTCATTTCATTGACTTTTGCCTATTTCTGGTTCCTGCTGCTTTCCTCTGTTGTCTGATTAAGAGTACCAAAGTTTAAGTTGAATACCATTTCCATGTTTTATTTGTGGGGGAGGTTGGAACTTTGGTCTTTTTAAGCCACCACCCTCCCAGAATCTTGAATTTGCTTGTATCTGCAATGTTTGTTCATATTGTTTGCCTATTTGTGGTATTTCCGGGTAAGTTTTTAAGAGATCCTTAAGTTGAATATTTGTAACTATTCATGTGAAATTTCTGTGACAGATATTTTTCAAATTTTTTCCCTTCTTTTGAGTATAGTCATGCATTGCTTAATGTCCCTAGTAAATCCTGTAAAATAGGATGTTATGTGAATTGGACATTGTGTGAACACCATACAGGCAGTCCCGTGTACAATCAGTAGTTACAAACCAACCCCTGTAAAGCCTATTATATTATGGGAGCCTGCTTGACAAAGCTTGAGAACTGTATCCCCTGGATACAGGAAGCTGGCCTTGCCGGGTGTATGGCTGCTGGATATAGGAAGCTGGCCTTCCCGGATATATGGCTGCAGGCCCCAGGCAGGGGTTAAGTTGGCAGCCAGACCAGCACTTTGTGCATGTCCTGACTAAGAGAACTAGCTGCAGGGACCGGGCAAAGAGTGGGTGTGCAAGTGCTGGGAGCATGGCTGGCAGCAGTGGCCCTGGCTGCTGCTGCCTACTTGGTAGGACAACTTCCTGATCATGTACAGCTGCTGCCACTGCCTGGAGCCAAGAGCCAGTGAGTGCCCCAAGCCCTGCCAGTGCTTCTACCAGCAGCACCCGTGGGCAACAGTGGTATAGCTGTGTCGTATGCTGCCCTGTGCTGGGCTGCACATCTGCTTGGCAGGCTGCTCACCTGCTGGGTGGGCTGCACATCTTCTGGGCAGATGCTGGGCTGGTGAATGAAGCCAGGAGGAGGAGAGGGAGGAAGAAGAGGCAGAGGAGAAGGTGTTGTGGGAATTGGAATGCTCTCTGGAACCCTTCTACTCATTCACTCTGGGTGTTTGAGGTCCATTGGGAGGAATAATAAACAAGAGCAAAGCTGCTTTCCCTTAAAACAAAAACAAAAACCTTATAGGACCATGGATGCAACTTTACTAGAAAGTGCCAAGTTGTTTTCCATAGTAGTTATTTCAGTTTACTGCTATACCAGCTGGGTTGTATTTTTAAATCCCTCCCACTCCATTTTATAAATAAATGTGTTTAGTCAGAATTGGTAATTTTAATAAAGTAGATCTGACATTTTATCTCTCCTATGCTCAGTGCCTAATGAGACCTGATGACACAATGTAAAGCACTTGGCTGCTAACCAAAAATTTGGTGTTAGAACCCAGCAGCTGCTCCATAGAAGAAAGATGTGGCAATCTGCTTCCATAAAGATTTATAGCCTTAGAAACCCTTTAGGACAGTTCTACTCTGTCATATAGGGTCTCTGAATAGAAATAGACACAATGGCAATGGGTATGGGTTTTGTTGTTGCTGTTCTTTATGTTTTTTCCCTGGCCAATTCTTTGAGAAGTGGATGGCTTCTTCCTTCTTCCTCGTCTGTCTCAGTCTATAAGCTGGGCTGTTACCTGTGCACCAGGTGCATCTCGCTGGGTTTTAAACACCAGAGGCTCAGCCTCAA